GGAGTATGTTTTTTGGGGGGGGCCAGGCTGAGGTCGGCCAGGCTGAGCTCGGCCAGCCGATCTCGGCCAGGCTGAACTCGGCCAAGCTGAATTCGGCCTGGTTCCAGCCTGGCCGAGTTCGGCTGGCCGAGTCTGTCCTGTGTCCCCCCCCCCTTGGCCATCGGAGGACCCGTGGGCGAAAGGCATATCCGTATCCACGGCCCCGCGGGCGGGGCCCCTGTGGGCCGCGGCCCCGCGGGTGCGCGGCGCTGCTTCGCGGATGCCCCGCGCGGAGCGTACCCGTGCCACCGCGTATCCGCAGGATCGCGCCCCCGAATCCAGACCGCGTATCCGCGGGGTCGCGCCCCAGATGAGGAGGAGTGGAGAGGAGGAGGAGGAGGAGGAGGAGGAGGAGGAGGAGGAGGAGGAGGAGGACGAGGACGAGGAGCATAAGGAGGAGCATAAGGAGGAGGAGGAGGAGGAGGAGGAGGAGGAGGAGGAGGAGGAGGAGGAGGATATGCTCGTGAAGGACCGCGCCGCGAGAAGGTGCGGCTCCGTGTTCGGCGACTGCGGCTTGGCGCAGGCGAGCGCCGCGCTCTGCAGCTCGCTGCAGCGGGCCGCCGCCGGCCTCGTCACCCCGCAGCTGGAGCCGCCGAGAGCCAGTGGCGACGGCGGCGGCGGCCGGCGGCGACGACGTCGGCCGGCGCCTCGAGCTCTGAGGTTTGCGGACGGGTTCGTCCTTGGCATCGCTCGGACGTGTGCGTTTTTTTCTCGGCGAGGACCATCGAGGAGCATCTTGGATCATCTGGCGAAAAAAGCACGCACGAAATCGAAGGCATGCACGGGACATGGACGTCCGAGCGATGGCGAGCGTCGGTTCTCGGCAGTCTTCCAGCCTCGGGCTGCGCTCCAGCAGCGGTGCCTCGCCGAGAGCATCCCCGGGGTGCACAGGTCGTCCCGAAGGGCCGTCGGAGAGCCAATCTTTCGCCCAAAAGCAACGATGGGCGGCAGCGATTGCGGCAGCGGCGACGGCGACGAAGACGACGAGGGGACGGCGACGACGACGCATACAAACAGGAGGACGAAGGCAGATACGACGACGACGAATACGACGACTAGGGGTTGACGACGACGACGACGACGATGGCGGCGGCGACGGCGACGACGATGGCGGCGGCGACGACGACGACGACGACGACGAGGGAGGCAGCCTTATAGGAAGCCGGAGGGCTTCTCGGAAAGGAGCGACGCCGTCAAGAGACAATGTTCCCCACGCCTTGTATGAGGCGGAATGGGCTTCCTTCGCAGGATGTCCCACAGACCAAGCCCGCCGCGGCGCATGCCAGGCGCGGCCCCAGCCACGTGTGACGCATGCGCTACGCGCATGTAGAGCAAGCACGGGACGCCCACAAAGCAACACTTGTTTTTCTATGCAAGGCATCATCGGCATTGGCACGTGACCTTGGACATGCTACGGTCGTAAAAATGTCGCGGCATACCTCTTCGAGGTAATTCAAGCAGTGTTGCAAAATTGGGCGGTCTATGATACTCAACAGTGCAGGGTTGGCTGGGGCGTGGTACCTCCTGCAGCGCCAGTGCATCGGACAAATTTGCTTCGAAGCCGCGCCGTTGCTAGATGCCAGCAGTGTGCTGGAACGTGCATAAAACGCGGACCAACAACGGAGCGAGCGCGACAGGTGTAGATCACAGGCGAAGCAGGTGCAAAGATGCGTAAGATATGTGCAAGCACGGGCGAAGCAAAAACGGAACAGCCGTTGCAGCAGAGGATGTGCAGGCATGGGCGAAGCGTTGCCAGCCCCAGCGTGCACAGCAGGTGATGGATCTGCTGGGCTGTCGCTCGGGGCCGCCCTTTGCGCGCCAGACTTGCGACCAGGGAGGAGGATGAGGAAGGAGGGAGGAGAGAGGGGGAGGAAGGGGAGGAGGGAGGAGGGAGGGAGGAGGAGGGGGGAGGAAGGGGAGAGGAGAGGAGGAGGAGGAGAGGAGGAGGAGGAGGAGGAGGAGGAGGAGGATAGGGAGGCGGAGGGAGGAGGGAGGAGGAGGATGATGATGCTGCTGATGATGATGACGATGCTGATGATTATGCTGCCCGCGGCTATTTGTGGCTCTTTTTCGGGCCGCGCTTCCATTCTCAAGTCTCTCAGGTGTCTTGCTCAGTTATGCAAGACATCGCCCACCATGCGGCGGACGTCCTGAGGTACGGGGCGCAGGCGCTGGGGGCCACGGTCGTGGCGCGGGCCGCCGCGCCCAGCTGCGGGGCCTGCTCGCCGCAGCTGGCCTGCCCCGCGCCCCCGACCTTATCCTGCCCCTCCTGCGTCTGCGCAGGCGCGGGCGGGCACGTGGTCGAGCCCTCGTGCCTGGGCCTCGTCACGGCCTACTCGGTGGCCGCGCTGACCGTCGGCCTCGCCGTCGGGGCCGTGGGAGGCGCCTGGGCTGCGCGGCGGCTCCTCGGGCAGCCTGCCCACCAGCCGCCCGCCGTGGCGGAGATCGCGGACGGCATCGACATCGCCGCTCTCGCGGCGCAGCAGGTGCGCGACGCCCGAGCCCGCGCCCCAGCGCTGCAGTGATGGCGGGCAGCTTCCACGTGTTGCACTACCGCGTTGGCGGCGTGCCCCTGTGGCACGAGCGCCTCGCGCTTGGCGTCAACGGGGGCCTTGCCTACATCCTCACTCCCGACTTCGACGACTACGACGAGCCCATCATCGTCGGCCCCGACGTGCGAGCGTTCCTGCAGCTCGCGGGCCAGGGCGACACGCCGCCAGCCCTGGCGGGCGCCGCGGCACTCCGCTTCCGCCGCCTCCCGACGGCCGCGGAGCTGTGGGCGGCTGTCGCACGCTCGGTGGCCGCGGGCTACCCGAGACCCGCCGACCCGCTGCCGCTGGCGCTCGCGGCGGGCAACGTGGCAGGCGCCCTGCCTGGTCCCTTCCCGCTGGCGGACCCTGCGGCTGCGGCCGCCCTGCCGCCTGCGGCCCTGCCGCCACCACCTGGCGTGGGAGGTGCGGCGCCGCCCGCGGGGGCTGCGGCCCCGCTGGCGATACCCCCCGCGGCAGCGGCCGCTGCGGCGGCCCCTCTCGGCGTCGCCCCTGGCGTCGCTGCGCTGGCCGCCGCGCTGGGAGCCGTCCCGCCTGGCCCCGCGGGGGCCTTGCCGCTGGTGCCAGCACCCGGAGTGGCGGCTGCGCTTCCCGCCGCCGCCCCTGCGGCGCCCGCCCCCGTCGGCGACTTCAGGATCCTCCCGATGCTGCTCAACCCGCGGGGCGAGCGCGAGAGGAGGTTCGGCGAGACCGTCAACGCCCTCTCGGAGACGGCCGTGCAGGGCTGGCCTGTGCAAGGGCCGAGGACCCTTCTCTGGTGCCTGTCCTTCATGTCGACGATGGCGGGTACGCCTACGGCGTGGCATCAGAGGTGGCTTACGTCGATGGCGTTGTCCGACGAGGACGAGTACGCGAAGCTCCACGAGACCCTCTGCCGCGTCTTGGACATCGCCGTCGCGTGCGACCAGCTGCAGATCGCCGAGATGGCCTCGTTCGAGATCGTCGCTCGCCAGCTCCAGCTCCTGGAGGAGCGGGTGTACGAGACGCGATCGGCACCTCCGAGCGGCGCAGCCCCCAAGGCCAAGGCCGCTGCCAGAGGCGGCGCCGCAGCTGGGGCCTCCAGCATGCCCGAGACCAGCTACTTCCTCGGCGCAGGCGTCTCCAAGGCCAATCTCTGCATCTCGCCGAAGTTGCTGGAGTACATCGCAGACCAGATGAAGGCGGAGGCCGCCATCAGCAAAGAGCGCCGCAAGGCTCGCGAGGAGCGGGCCTTGCGGGCGCCATGACGCCTGAGAACTTCAGGCCTGGCTGTGGGGCGCGCCACAATGGCGCCAGCCAGGCTCATTGCCCCCTCGCTGCGCAACTTCCTCGACAGCGAGACGTTTTTCCCCTCCACCCTATTCCTGTGGAGCGAAGATCGGGCACTTCATCCATGGGCGGGTCGGCCCGCGGACGGGCTGCCAAGGGTGCTGCCTGGCGTGAGTGGTACAGCGGCGCGGTGCCCACTCTCAACCACATGTACCACTGCGACCCGAACGATGTGATCAGACCGCCTCCTGGTCTTCCTACGCGCGCTCGTAGTGACGCTGAGGAGTATATTGCTCAACAGTATCGCGATTTCGAACTACCTCCTGGATATTCCGAATCTCCTCTAAGATGCGAGGCAGCCCTCGGAGAGTTGCTCGCATCGGCGCCTGGGTACTCTGGAGAGTCTCGGGTAAGACCCTACAACAAGGAGCTCGTCTCCTGGCCGAAGCACGTGGCGCCTGTCCCGACGGCCGACCTCGTTTCTGAAGCTGATCGTTCTACGTTGTCTGGGTGGAGGCATCAAATGCTACGTGACCCTGCTGATGCAGCTGCACTCAGGAAGGACTCGGGGCTGGGGTCGCCCGATGTGGATCCACGTCTTCGATGTCGGCCTCGGGGGTATGCTGATTTTCTGCTACGCCTGGATCAGGCTGGCATGCTTGACTGGGAGGTCGCCGGACGTCAGGCTACCTACTCTACTGGGTTTTTCTTTGTCGAAAAGTCCAACGGCGTCAACTTGCGGCTCGTCTTCGACACGCGGGTAGCCAACATGTCCTTCTCGGCCCCTCCTTCTACGAGATTGCCGACTCCGTCGGCGCGGAGCGCACTCGAGGCCGACCGCGAGTTCTACGTGGCCCAGGGCGACATACAGTGCGCATTTTACCATATGAAGTTACCGCCACATCTACATCGATATTTTTCTCTGCCCGTCGTCCCGAATCGATACTTGGGCTTCAAGCGGCTCAACGGCGTGAACATCGGGACGAACTCCTTCCTGCAGCCGTTCGTCTCCGTCATGCCGATGGGCTGGTCGTGGGCCCTCCACTTCTGCCAGTCCGCCCTGACCGCGGCCATCCTCGACTCGGGAATCGACGAGAGCTCCATGCTGGTGGGCGGCGCTGCCATCCCTCCGCTGCGGAAGGACTCCGACGTCATCGGCGCGGGCTACGTAGACAACTTTGCCACCGTGTCTCTCGACCCTGATGTGGCCGCGACGGCCTGCCAGGCCATGCGCGACGTGCTCGCGTCGAGGGGTCTGCCCGTCGACGAGTTCGCCCCCGCGGCCAAGCGCGTGGTCTTCACTGGCTTGGACATCCTCGGCGACGTCGGCATCGTCCGGTGTAAGTTCGACAGGCTCTGCCGGTGGCGTCAAGCCCTTCTTGGTCTACTTAGGCGTGGCTTCGCATCGCCTCTGGCCTTGTCAGCAGTGGTGGGTCACTGTACTTGGGGTATGATCACCAATAGACCCATGCTGTCGATCTTCAACTCGGTCTACCGCTTCATGGGCCTGGACTCCCGCTTGGCCGCGCCGCTGTGGCCGTCGGTCATCGCAGAGTTGCGCGCGGCAGCCACCCTCACACCGCTATGGTGGGCCGACGTCAGAGCAGAGTGGTCGGCGACTACCTTCTGCAGCGACGCCTCCCCCTACGGCATCGGGGTCTGCCGCAAGACCGTCGACCAGGAGGTCGCCGCGGCCGCTGGGCGTTTGTCTGACAGATGGCGCTATCGGTTCTCCGACGCCGTGCACGCCCGTGCGCGCGCTCTCGGGATCGAGCCTCGCATTGTGTTAGAAGCTGCCGTGAACAAAAATTGCCTCAAAGAGTGCAGCCACAGTCCGAGGCCTCCCAAGATCCCTGGGGGCCCTCCGTCTACGGCATCATCGTTACATCAACCAGCTGACGCTGCTTCCCTCGACGGCTTCGACGAAGTTCCCGACTCGATCGCGGCTTTCGACGGCTGGGCCACGATGCACAGTTCGCGTCACCCGAGGTTCGGCTTGGACATTATGCGATACGAGGCGGAGGCTCTCGGGTTTGCGATGCGACATTCGGCTCGGTCTGGACGGCTTCGTCATCATCGCATCTTGTTCACCGTCGACAATTTGGCTCTGGCACTTGCCGCCGGCAAGGGCCGTTCTGGCGCCCGAGGCCCTCGCGACCCTCTACGCCGTCTATGCGCCCTGTCGGCGGCCTCGGGCATCCGCCACGCCATTCGGTGGATCCCCAGCGAGAGCAATGCCGCGGACTCGCCGTCCGGGACAGGCTTCTTCGTCGGGCCGACCTTCGAGGAGCACCAAGCGAATGCGTCCCGAACTTCGACGGCAGCGGGCCACGACCCTGACGGAGCAGAGGACCAGGGCCCATCCTGGGCCAGTGCTGCTCGCCCGAGGGGCCCTGTCGGCGCTGGAGTCAGCCGCCGTGTCGGACACGACCGTGGCCAACTACTGGGGCGCCGCCAAGAAGTTCGAGGAGTGGTGCCGCTGGACGTCCCAGACGTTCTCCACGGCAGCGGAGGTCGATGTCATCCTAGTTACCTACTTCGTGAACCTCTTTCTGGACGGCTTCGACAGTGCCACGGGCCGTGTACTCATGGCCTCTCTGAAGCACTACCTGCCCGCGATCCTCGTTGGCAGGGCTCCGTGCCCACGGGCGGCTCGCGCCTTGACAGGCTGGCGGGAGCTCGTTCCCCCACAGATGCGACTCCCTCTACCTCGAGCGGCGATGGCGTCCATCGTGGGCGTCCTGATCTCGTGGAAGCTCTTCGGCATGGCTGCGTTCATCAGGCTGATGTTCGACACCTACCTGAGGCCAAGCGAGGCATGCCGCCTCACGGCGGGGAGCGCGATGCGACCTCGACCCGACGGCGCCCTGGGATACGGCCACTGGGCCCTGATCGTCAACGACGCCTGCTTCGACCGCCCTGGCAAGACAGGCGAGATGGACGAGAGCGCGATTGTCGACAAGCAGACCATCTGGCCGCTCCTGGAGGCCTTGGTGCACGGCAAGGGCCCGATCGACGGCCTTTGGACCTTCGCCCCCGACGAGGTGCGGAGCATGTTCCGTCGAGCGGCAGCTGCCCTCGGCCTGGAGACCGAGTTGACTCTCTACTCGCTCCATCATGGGGGCGCGTCCGACGACCTGTTGCCGCTCAGGCGCACGAGGAAGGAGGTCAAGGACCGCGGCCGCTGGAGGACGGACCAGAGCCTCCTCCGCTACGCGAAGCGGGCCCGCATGCAGCAGCGGATCGCCAACCTAGGCCAGAACGTCGTCGAATTCGGCGAGCAGGTGGACAGGCAGATGAACGACGTCATCATCCAGACCACGGCCTCGGGCGTCTTCCCGCTGCAGGCGCCGCTGGCCGTGGCGCCGACGCCGCCTGCTGTCAGGCCGCCGCCCCCGCAGATCACTGCACGGTGGGCCTTCGCCTGACGCGCCTGTGGCGCTCTGCCAGGCGGGCTTCTACGCGAAGCAGGCACTGCCCTGCGCTGGTGCTCGGCAGCGACGGTGGCGCGGCCCACGCCTTGCAGCGGCTGGGCTTCGGCGTCGTGCACCTCGACCCGAGTCGCCACGCAGGCGACGACATCACCGGTCCCGGAGTGATGCGGCGCGTTTTAGGCTGGATTCGTTCTAGCTGCCTCTCGTGCGTGTGGGTGGAACCCGACGCCGCCACCTGGCTTCGTCAGTCGCCTGCTGTGCGTTCTAAGCTGTATCCTCGCGGCCTCCCGACCTTGACCAACTTTACAGCTCGATCTGTTCGCATCGCCAACCTCTTTCTGGATCAGTACTTGCGCGTCCTGTCTGAATGCTGTTATAAGAAAGTGCCCGCCATATTGTGCCATCCCGACGCGTCTCTTATATGGGACGGCAGTGCGTGCACCACTCTTGCGAACCAGAGTTCGTCCCCGACAGTTTTCGACTCATGCATGTACGCTGGCCGTGTCAAAAACAGATTTCGACTTGTACGCTGGAGCGTGAAAGGTATTGATCGGCTATCCCTGACCTGTTCACCTGTTGCCTCGCCGTGCCGTCGCACTCGAAAACGACATCTCGGCGAGTTAGGCATCCCATCGTTAGACCGTCAGTTGCGCAGCGCTGCGCGCCACCCTCCTGCCTGTATCCTACGATTCGCATGTGAAATGATGGCCAACAGTGTCGATAGCCTACGATATGAGAATTCATTTAAGTTTTGCGGCTTTCAGCCAGTGTCTTGGACTAGCCATAGTACCTGGTGCTGGCCCCTGCGGCATCAGAGTTCGTGTCCTCGCCTGGCGCCCTCTTGCACAAAAAGAATCATCTGGCCACGGAATCGTCCACATTATGCTGCCCGCGGCTATTTGTGGCTCTCTTTCGGGCCGCGCTTCGATTCTCAAGTCTCTCCCTCCCCCCCTGTTCTCCCTACTCAAGAATGTTTCTTTGGCCTGGTGCTGGCCCCTGCGGCATCAGAGTTCGTGTCCTCGCCTGGCGCCCTCTTGCACAAAACAAATCATCTGGCCACGGAGTCGTCCACATGATTATGATGATGATGATGATGATGATGACGATGATGATGATGATGATGATGATGATGGTGATGCTGCATATGATGATGACAATGATGATGTTGATGATGATGCTGATGCTGATGCTGATGGTGCTGCTGATGATGCTGATGATGATGATGGTGGCGGTGGTGATGATGATGAGGAGGAGGAGGAGGAGGAGGGAGGAGGAGGAGGAGGACGAGCAGGAGGAAAACGGTGGAGAGAGGAGCAGAAGCCTCCTCCTCCTCCTCCTCCTTCTCCTCCTCCTCGTCCTCCTCCTCCTCCCTCCTCATCCGCGGGGGCGCGCCGCCCCGCCGGCCCAGGAGCGGGCCGTCCTCCGGTCCGCCGCGCTGGCCGAGGAGAGCGCCCAGGACGTGAGCGCGCTCGTCGCCAAGTTCGGCGAGGAGAGCATCGAGCGCGACGCGACGCTCCGGGAGGACTGTTTGTGTGTTGCTGATGTGGTTACTCCCAGGCGCTCCCAAGCGCTCCCCGGCGCTCCCCGGCGCTCCCAGGCGCTCCCCGGCGCCCCCAGGCGCTCCCCAGCGCTCCCAGGCGCCCCCAGGCTCCCCAGCGCTCCCCAGCGCTCCCGCGCGCGACGCGGCGCTCCGGGAGGACTGTTTTTGTGTTCGCTGGCTATCATGGTAATGAGTGAACTCGCATTTTTAAACCACCTTATTGAAAAAACGATGATTTGCTAAAGCGAGAAGCGGGTTTATTACATTGCGCCGCCTGATCAAAACAGGACGGAACGTCATTCTGTTAACGCAAGAACCGGCTTACCAAACTCAAGAAAGGATGTTCTAAATCCGGGACTGTTTTTCAAAATCCCATCTTCTATCATTACCATGATTTGTGTGGTTCGATCATGTGTGTTGTTGATGTGATGTGGTTATCCTTAGGCTTATGCCACACCGCCGACCCCCTTGGGGACTGGCGTCGTTGCGTGTTGCTCCTGAGGGCCTCGTGAGCGCCTTTTGGACCTTCTTGGAGCTCTTTTGATCGAAGGCGTCTGCGGCGAATCACCGCCGCCCCTGCCTTTTGGAATCGCCCATGTGGCCGAGCGTTGTGGCAAGACCTCTGCCACGCGATCGGACCATGTGTTCCCCAAGCTGTTGTGGAAACCCTTCGGTGATCATTTATTGGGAGAGATCACGAGGAGGAGGAGGAGGAGGAGGAGGACGAGGAGGAGGAGGAGGAGGAGGAGGAGGAGAGGGAGGAGGAGGAGGGGACATCTTGGGAACCTGTGGGGGCTCTCTGGGGGCCTCCTGGGAGCTCTCTGGGGGCCTCTTAGAGGCATCTTGGGGGCCCCCTTGGGCATCTTGGGGGCATTTCGGGGTTTCTCGGGGGCTTCTTTGGCCGTCTTAGGGCATCCGTGGCCCGTCTGACGCCGTCGGAAGCCGTCTTAGGGGGCATCTCTGGGCCGATTTGGGGCCCTCTTGGGGTGATCCAGGTCCCTCTTCGAGGCCATCTTGGGCGTCTTAGGCCTCTTGGGCTGTCTTGGAGCCCTCTTGGGGCCGTCTTGGGGGCCTCTTGGGCCGTTCTGGGGCCATCTTGAAGGCCTCTTGGGCGGTCTTGGGGCGATCTTTAGGGGCTCTTGGGCCGTCTCGGGCCGTCGGGAGGCCGAAGAGGAAAAAATGCCCCCATCTATCAAACACCTAAGCAAATCAATGATGTTGGCCTCTTTGGGCCTTCCTAGTCCTCTTGGGGGGCTCTTGGACCGTCTTGAAGACCTCTTGGGGTCCTCGTGGGCCGTTTGCCATCATCTTGAGGCCATATTTGGCCGTCTTGGAGGCTCCTTGGCCGAATTTGGAGGCATCTTGGACCATATTTGACCATCTTGGGCGACCTTGGAGGCCATGTTGGCCGTCTTGGAGGCCATCTTGGGCCATCTTGGAGCCATGTGGACCCGGAAGAGCCTTTGAAACCACCTCGCGAGCAGTCTTCCAGGTGGCTGGCGGGACGCGCCGAAGCCCCAGGGGAGAGTTCTTTTCAGACAGAGCGAAAACCAAGCCAGTAGGATCTAGCACGCCAGGCCAGCGGATTACCGAATGGCCTTCGGCACATCTCGCCACCGTGCCTGGGCTGCGGGTCTGAGACCACGTGGCTGGCAGACGGGGTCTCGTGGGAGGCATCTCGGGGGCGTTTGGGAAGCAGCTTGTGAACCGATCGGTGGCCTCCTGAAGGCCTCTTGGAAGCTTCCTTCGTCTTGGGGCTCTTTTGGGGGCCTCTTCGGCGGTCTTGGGGCGGTCTTGTGGGCGTCGTCGACCGTCTTGGAGCGTTGGAAGCTCGAAAACGCGAAAAACCGAAAAACAGATGAAACAAACCAATGCAAATCAAGGATTTGGGCCTCTTCCGGCTCTCTCGGGACGCCTCTTGGAGCTCTCTTGAGGCCTCCTGGAGGCTCCCTGGGAGCCTGTTGGGGGCTTCTTGGGGCAGCCGGGGGTCCCCTGGGCCGTCTTGGGGGCTTCTGGAACGGCCTTGAGGCCCTCTTGAGTCGTCTGGAAGCCCTCTTGGGGTTCTCTTGGGCCGTCTTGGGCCGATCCAGGAGGCTTCTTGGGTTGTCTTGGACGTTGTGAACGTACAGGAGGCGAACGTGCTAGAAATACATGTTCTCCTGCGGGGGTGGGGCGACTCCTGCTCTTTGAGGCCGTCTTGGGACACCTCTTGATGGCTTCGTGAAGCGTCTTGGGGGCCTCTTGGGCCGTCTGGAGGCCAGCGTGGGCGTTTTGGATCGATCTTTCGGTGGTTTATGGCTCTCTTGGACCGGCTTGGACCGGCAGGGGAGGGGTTTGGGGAGGGGGGGACATTTCACACGCTTGTGGACCCCAAGGCGTCGGCGGCTTCGTTTATCTTCCTCTCTCTCTCACTCTCTTCCTCACTCTCTCTCTCTCTCTCTCTATCTCACTCTCTCTCTCTCTCTCTCTTTCTCGCACACGCACACACTTGTTTCTCGCCCTCTTTCTTTCTCATTCCCTGTGCCTCTCTCTGTATATATGTTTCGAATCAGTACTGCTCACCGGTACCTGCATCTCTCACTCACGCGCTCTCCATCTCTCTCTCTCTCTGTCGTTCCTCCTCGCTTTCTACTCTCTCTCTCTCTCTCTCTATATATACATATCCTTCACTCGCTCTCTCTCTCTCTCTCTTTCCCTCCCTTTCCTCCACCTCCTCCTATCCTCTTGCTTCTCGTCCTCATCCTCCCCCCGCCACTCTGCTGCTCCTGCTGCTGCTGCCAGCTGCTTCTGCTGCTGCTGCTGCGGCTGCTACTGCTGCTCCTCGTCCTCCTCCTCCTCCTCCTCCTCCTCCTCCTCCCCAGGCTTTTGTTTCAACTTGTGCCCCCACCAGCAGCCATGACATTGTCGTGCCTTCTAGGATCGTCCCCCCCACAACCAAACCCCTTCTCTTCGCTTCGACGGGGAGGATAATCACCTGGAGGAGGAGGAGTAGCAGGAGGAGGTGCATGAGGAGAAGCGGGAGGACTAGCAATATGATAAGAGGTGGACGAGGAGAAACAGGCAGAGAAAGACGAGGAGGAGCACAATGCCGAGGATCAGAGGGATCAGCACAGGAAAGAAGGTGGAGAGGACGAGGAAGGGACAGGAAGCGCAAGAGGAGCCCTTCCTCATTCCGATCCTCCTCCGCCCCTCCTCCCCCTTCCCTCTCCCTCCTCCTCCGCCCCTCCTCCTCCTCCTCCTCCTCCTCCTCCTCCTCCTCCTCCTCCTCCTCCCCCTCCTCTTTCCTCCTCGTCACCGCCCCTCTCCCCTCCCCCTCCTCGCTCTCCTCCTCCTGGGGGGGGGCGCCCCTGACCGGCAAATCCGCCCTCGCCGCGAGGAGGAGGAGGCGGTGGCGCTCGGGCCCCGGCTGCGGGAACTGAAGCGGCGCGTGGTCGCCGACCTCCGCTTCAAGGCCGCGGTGCGCAGGACCCCGCCGGCGGCCCGCCCCGCCCGCCCCCGCGGCGATGGAGAGGACGAGGATCACCGAGCGCGTTTCAATATCCGCAAGGTGTTTAGTGTTCCACACGTTTGTGAATCCCTAGTTGTCGCTTCCCTGCCGTCCATCCATGGCTTTTTGGCGTGTGCTGACCTCGAGGTGCAGGCTTCTGTCGTACGCGTCGCTGGTGGCGAGCTCTCTTCCAGAAAAATCGG